CACTCTTAACTCCCTCCGAAAATGGCCTTCGTCTGGGAAGGTGGGAGGGGCCAGGAAGGCCAGAGGACTAAGGCATCCTGCCCACTTGTCTCCCAGCTCTGGGTTCAAGGGCAGGTCAAGGGCAACACAAGCAAAGATTTTGCTTCTCTAAGCTCCAGTCTCCTCACCCCTCCAGGGGGGGTAAGAACCGCCCAACTTCATCTTGTCAGGGCTCATGTGAAATGAGACATGATTATACCCATTTTTCAGACAGGAACACCAAGGCACAGGGAGGTAAAGAGAAGGGTTCTGCACCACTGTAGAGGACGAGGCCACTATTACTTATGTGTCAGTCGTCGTTGTTGTTAGTGGTGGCCCCATCTATAATGAGTGTTCACCAGAGTTTTCTATTAGCACCTGGAGCTGACCCCTCCTGCCTCCTTCATGTCCACCCTGTCCAGCTCCCAGGCCTCCCTCTGAGGCCAACCATGTCCTACCGGGCCCCCTCCCTCGGCCATCCCCCGCCTAAATGCCCCGCTGGATCACAGAGCTCGCTCTCCACCAGCCCCCAGCTCAGGGCCCAGCACAGCAAGCACTTAAGAAGCACGTGCGTTACTGTACTGACATCATTTACTGGGCACTTACTGTGTGCTGGTGCCCAGCCCACCAGAAATGGTGTCACAGGCTGTCCCCAGACAGCCCTGCAAGGGGGTGGCACCCTTCGCTCCGAGGCTTCAGAAGCACGGGGCTTGACGGATGCCCGCTTTATCAGCGAGCTCAGGCTACCGCATCACAAAGAGCCACAGATTGGGAGGCTTAAACTTTTCCCCTCATATTTCTGGAGACTGGAAGCCTAAGATCAAGGTGTTGGCTGCATGGGTTTCTCCTGAGGCCTCTCTCCTGGGCTGGTAGGTGGCTGTCTTCTCCCTGTGTCCTCGCATGGTCATCCCTCTGTGTGTGTGTCCAAATCTCCTCTTCTTATAAGGACACCAGAAAGACTGGACGAGGGCCCACCCTAGTGACCTCATTTTACCCCAGTCACCTCTTTGAAGGCCCCATCTCCAAATACAGTCACATTCTGAAATAACGGAGGTTGGGATGTCAACATATAAATTTGATGACACAATATAACCCATAACACCTACGTCATTGTCCCTGTTATAATTTAGCATTGCTGTCTGTGGTTTCCCCAGCTCACTCGCTCTGTGCCTGGGCGTCTTGCCCCAGCTCTCTACCCCAAGGCCTGGCCCATGCTGGGGCCTCAGCCCTATCCTTATAGTGGGCTACACACACATGGGCACACACACACACACGGGCACACACACACTCACAAATGAGATAACCCATCTCTAAACCCAACAAGGAATTTCCGTCTAGAAAGTACAAGGAGCCCCTTCCTGCCAACCCAAACGGCAGCAATCCCAACAGAAAAACCAGCAAACGATATAAACAGTTCATTCATAAGAGGGAAACCCCCAAACCCAGGCATACGACAAACTGATGCTCTGAGACATGCAAACGAGAATCACAACCAGGTGACACTCTGTGCCTACCAGCCTGTGGCAGGGACTAGAAGGCTGGCATGGATACCCCTCGCTCAGTGTGGCAGGCTGGAGCCCAGGCCCCCTGTGCTCCTCACGGGGCCCCCCACACAAGGAACCATGCCCCAGGATGCTCCTGCAGTGTTTGCGGGGTATCCCTTGACTTCAGTCCCCCAGAAGCAAGCCTCAAATGAGGATTCCTGCAAAAGTGACTTATTAAGGAAATGTTCCCGGAAAAATCGGGGAGTGGAAGAGTAGGGCTGGGAAGGGGAGGAGCCTGGGCAAGGGCACAGAAGGCTGCCTTGGCTCAGGCCGGGGCTCAGGGGACAATGGAGGTCCCATTCCAGGAGGCCGAGCATTTATATCCCTCCCCCTTGTCCTGGGGCTGTGGGTTCCTCCCGCAAGGAGTCGCAGGTTCGGGCTACCAGGGAGGCTGTGTACGCAGCGAAATGGTCAAGGACCCGGGACCCTCGGGGGGCGCACAGAGGCGCCTGCCAGTGGCGGGAAGAGGGGGGCCGGGTGAACGTTCCAAGCAACAGATGACCCAGCGCACAGAGCAACGGAAGGCGAAGCATCTTGAAGCCACCTACCCCACAGCACTTAGGGACGTTGGCAACTCGCTTGCAAAAGCAGCCACACGCACAAAGCAGCACTGCACGTTCTGCAAGCACACGGCGGAATCACACACTGAACACATTAGGGTACACATTGAACTC